GAATATCATTTTACTTTGATTATATTTTACTGTAAATTTGATGTTTCATTGCTGATGAAACATTCGAAATAATAATCCTAATGATACATTGATATATATGTACACAATATGATATTAAAGAATTACTAAATAAGAAATTTCATCTAAATTTGAACGAATAGTTCCACAGTATTTGGGCGCCGAGTTGATGTGAAATATTAAAGAGAAAGAATGTATTTATAAAATCTCAGCGAATGAATAAGAAGTAAATCCAACGTTTCTCCTGGCAATCTGGTCTAAGCTTTTTCAAAGAAATATAATCAAACATCAAAATTATCGAATATAAATACGTACATAGTTCTCCGGTTCACTGTATACTGAATATGTCATCTAATCAAAGTTAACAATTTTTTTAAAGTAGGTATTTACATTATTGTGTAAGAGACATGTGTTGTGAAACGAAAAGTGTTAAGATAGCTATGAGATCACCGGTTTCTCCAGTTGTTGCATTCATTGGAAACCAGTACTATGTCAATATGTTCCCTTCCGCCGAAAATTTGGTTAAAATACGTAGATGACACTTTTGTTATTATAAAACGAGATGGTTTAGACGAACTATTTAAAAGTGTCAACAAAATTTATGAAAAAATAAAGTTCTCGAAGGAGTTGGGATCTCCTGAATGCAAATTACCTGTTCTAGACTGTTTAGTTGAAGGGAAATATAATGATTATAAGCAAAGATGGATAGTGGCTGGCAGTGGAATCCAGGACGCGCGTTTCGTCCTGTTTGGGACTCCTCAGTTGGATGTACCTGCATCTCAGAGTTGATAATCACTCTGGGACTCGAATTCAGTACCGTTCGCTTCAAACTCCATCGCGTTATCCACTTAGCTACTGAGTGTGAACATCAACTCTGAGATGCAGGTACATCCAGCTGACGAGTCCCAAACAGGACGAAACGCGCGTGCTGGATTCCACTGCTAGCCACTATCCATCTTTGCTTATAATGCTTGTAAATTAAGGCAATATCGAGGCATACGCACAGTATGAACATATGCCAATAAGAGACTGATCAAGTTCAGTCCTAAAACATCAATGGGAAGATTCAAGTAAAACAATACCAAGTGAAATATAATGATTGTTTAAAAATTAGTGTTGTCCGAAAGCCGACATATTCAAAGAAATTTCTAGAATTTAATTCAGCGCATCCACACTGTACCAAAGTAACAGTAGCCAAAAACTTAATCACCGCAGTTTAAAAACCTGTAACTGAACCAAACGATATAGAATTATATCCACTCTAATGCTGAATAATTATCCGAAGGATTTTATTAAAAGAATAATTAAGAATGAAGAACAAAACGATCTTATCAAAAAAATGGTTAAGCAAAAAGAATGGATTAACACAGCGGTGATCACATATCGTAAAGGTATTTCAGAAGAGATCAGAAGGATTCTAACTTTTCAAAATATAAGAGTATTCTTTCGAACAAACAATACTCTAAGATCAAAACTAGTACAAATCAAAGATCCAATACACAAGGAGGAACAACAGAATTGTTTATTCTTACAGAGAAAGACTAGTAGCCTAAGCCCTACATATATGGGCTAATCCAAACAGTATTAATAGGAGAGATGGAATACAATTAGCTGTCCCATGGCAACTAATAATTAATAAGTAAACCTGAACTCCTCATTCCATTCTACCTATCTCGTATTAAATAAATAGCAGATATTACATTCAACGGTTCAAATCAGTTACTTTATCTGAATATACTAAACAATTGACTGGAACATTAAAATATCACAAACTTTCAATTACAATTACATCCTTCCTCTTTGAATTTATTCTTTTATCTTGTTTATTTGTCTTCATTTTATGCAAGCTGTGACATTTTTGATTCATATCATATACAAAAATTACATGTTTTCTTAATATTCACCGACCAAAGACAATATACAGTGAACACTTTTCGTTTCACAACACATGTCTCTTACACAATAATGCAAATACCTACTTTAAAAAAAATTGTTAACGTTGATTAGATGACATATTCAGTATACAGTGAACCGGAGAACTATGTACGTATTTATATTCGATAATTTTGATGTTTGATTATATTTCTTTGAAAAAGCTTAGACCAGATTGCCAGGAGAAACGTTGGATTTACTTCTTATTCATTCGCTGAGATTTTATAAATACATTCTTTCTCTTTAATAAAGAATCGCTAATTTTATTTTTTGCTGAGATGTAGCATATTGTTGATACTCTCAGTTAAATTCAGTTTGATCCAAAATCAGTTTAATGATTTCCAATGAAAACATGTCAGATTTTATACAAATAATCAAATTAAAATATTTCAGTAGCTACTTGTTAATTGGCATAGACATAGATACACTAATGTACATGGAATGACACAGTCAGATCAGTATAGGAAAGGAGTGGTCGTTTATGGAGATTGCTGAGTTTTCTGATTTGCATCGTGGACTGATCTTAGACAGTCATTAAGCAGGCAACAGCAGACGGCTGTTTGGTCTTAGTACTGAACTCCACTATTTTCTTGTTTTTAACGATAGTTTAGAATCAGTCATTTAGGAATTCAATAGGATTGTGTTTTGTTGAAGTTCAACGTCAGCCAAATTATTCCTGGTATAGTTTTAATTGTTCTCGAGTGTATGGATAAGTGTTGTTCACAGAAAGAATAGGAGTGTACAAATCAGCTGAACTGTCTTCAGTGCACCGAAAATTCTAATTATAAGTGGTTTCTGCTATTCAACTCATAGTTAGGGATAACGGTATGGACAATACATACTCAGATATTTCCTGGAATTGAGTTCAGTGATTAAATGTAGTGATAGCCGTAGATGATTGTGCTATGGTATTTGAAAAGAGCAAGGACAAAGATTCTAGCAGAATAGCATGAATTCATTTTATTTCGTAGGTTCTCGTCAGCTGCTTACAACCTGTGATATTTAAAAATCATAATTGCATAATGGGTTTAAATTGCTAACTGAATATTGTAAATATATACCTAGTGTGAGAGAATATTCTACAACATTAATTGTGACAACAGTTCAAAAGTGGGTTAGAAACAATCGATTACATAATGAATAACATTGAAGGAATGTAGTGAGTAGAGTTCAGTTGAAAGATTATTAATTTGAAAGATAGTTGAAAAAATAAAATAGAGTCAATGATGTAACAAAAGCAAAAAAAGAAAAAAATTTTTATGGTGCAGTGAAGGAATATATTTGTCACCAGGGCAAGGAAAGATTAACCACCGTCTCCTTTTAAATACAAAGGTCAGGTTTTTGACGCCTGATGGCAATGGCTTCAGCAAACTTCAGAAGACTGGAGTCTGGCTGCTTACTAATCACCCTAAAGGATTGTAAGGTATCTACCTGATGTCCTGTATCAAGGAGATGTTTGGTGATCGCACTGTTCAGAGTCTTTCTTTCCCTTGTTCTAGGACTTTTTAGAACATGTCCAAAGAATCTAAGATATGATCTCCTTTCAGTTCGGCCGATGTAGCTGCTTTGGCATTTATTACATCATTGACTCTATTTTATTTTTTCAACTATCTTTCAAATTAATAATCTTTCAACTGAACTCTACTCACTACATTCCTTCAATGTTATTCATTATGTAATCGATTGTTTCTAACCCACTTTTGAACTGTTGTCACAATTAATGTTGTAGAATATTCTCTCACACTAGGTATATATTTACAATATTCAGTTAGCAATTTAAACCCATTATGCAATTATGATTTTTAAATATCACAGGTTGTAAGCAGCTGACGAGAACCTACGAAATAAAATGAATTCATGCTATTCTGCTAGAATCTTTGTTCTTGCTCTTTTCAAAATGATAAAGGGAACTATGTGTATGAAATTTCTCAAAAAAACGCCTCCTTGAACAGTTATGGTATTTGATTTAAATCAGAAATAAATTCCTACTACAAATTTTGTACATTATTCATTTCACACTTTGCAATGATGGAGTGAGTTGGTGCAATGATAGCTAATACCGTAACTTGGAGTAAAACTAACCGATGATGAAGTTAGATTGCTTCACAGACAGTGCACTGTTGTTCAAGTGAACTGTAGGTATATTAAAGGACAACATTGTCTATGTTTACTCATGACATAATTTAAAGTATCGGGACTTTCTTTTATCCAACTAAACGCGGATTCAAATTGTTGATTTCCATCTTGTCTAGATCCTATCCATTTACTGAAAATCGTTTTATGACCACTTTAATTGCAAACTTGAGATTTTGAACTGTCTTTTCCCAAATAAATTTAACCAACGTATGCTAATACAGTAGTTTTGTATGTAACCAGCTTAATGTAGCCTTAGTTCAGATATTGGATAAAACACGTTACAAAATGACATTTGTCTCTTACAACGAAGGATCAGTTGGATAATTTTCATTTAGATTCTTTCCACTAGGTGGTAGCAAGTTCTTCAGACTACTACAACATTATGTACTTTAATGGATTCCTCTGTTAATTTATAAGAAAATAATTGTTGTGGATTCTACCAGTTTTGTAACAATTCACCCGTGCTTCATCTCAGATCAAGTGTATTCTCAGCTTCTTATTCGCACATATTTATAAGCCATTGTAATGGGGGTTAGACGACCTAATTATTGATGTCTGTTTCCTACAACAACATTAATACGAACGTCTCAAACTTTAAAAAAGAATTTTCACATCAAGATTACAGCCGTGCGCCTAATCAATGTACTGTTGTCGAAGCAATCCAGTTACTTCGGGATCAACAACCAGTCTATACTCAAAATATGTTATACACCAAATACGTATTTAAAGTTCCATTTCAAGTTTCGACACCCAACCATCTAGACAGACAGAGTAGCTTGAATAATTAACCAATCATAAATTGCATATGTCAGGCTGATTGATATCTCGTGGTCTCAAGTCTCATAGTATTTTTTCTTACTAAAAAATTAAGGTTTCTTTTTTACGGGAGTAGGCAGACCGAAATTCAGACCACAAAAGGAACGTTTAATAATTGATCAATAATGCGGGCAACCAATAAATTATCTGGGCAGATAGCTAGTAAATTAGCATTGGTAATTGTTACATTATTGATTGAGCAAGCTGTTTACTGATTGGCCGATTTCATAAATGCAAAGTTAGCCATTTATGGTCATTTCATCAAACGTATTTAGTAAAGTGAATCAAGTATCTCACTACTTAGAGAAATGGCTGAGGAAGACGTTGCTGCCCTTGTTATCGACAATGGATCTGGTATGTGCAAAGCTGGCTTCGCCGGAGATGACGCTCCCAGAGCCGTGTTCCCCTCCATTGTTGGGAGACCAAGACATCAAGGAGTGATGGTGGGAATGGGTCAGAAAGACAGTTATGTGGGAGACGAGGCTCAATCGAAACGTGGTATCCTGACTCTAAAGTACCCGATCGAACATGGTATTGTGACTAACTGGGATGATATGGAGAAAATATGGCACCACACATTCTACAACGAGTTGCGAGTGGCTCCAGAAGAACATCCAGTGTTGTTGACAGAAGCTCCATTGAACCCGAAAGCGAATCGTGAGAAGATGACACAGATCATGTTTGAAACTTTTAATGCTCCAGCTATGTATGTTGCTATTCAAGCAGTGTTGTCGCTGTATGCATCTGGTCGTACAACTGGTATCGTGTTGGACTCAGGTGATGGTGTGACCCACACGGTTCCGATTTACGAAGGTTATGCATTGCCTCATGCCATTTTGCGTCTGGACCTTGCTGGTAGAGATCTTACCGACTATATGATGAAGATCTTGACTGAGAGAGGTTACAGTTTTACTACTACTGCAGAACGTGAAATAGTCCGAGATATAAAGGAGAAGCTTTGTTATGTTGCTTTGGATTTTGAGCAGGAGATGGGTACTGCAGCATCAAGTTCTGCTTTGGAGAAGAGTTACGAACTTCCGGATGGTCAAGTTATCACTATTGGTAATGAACGATTCAGATGTCCAGAAGCTCTTTTCCAACCCAGTTTCCTGGGGATGGAATCCGCCGGTATTCATGAGACCACTTACAATTCCATTATGAAGTGTGATGTAGATATACGAAAGGATTTGTATGCAAACACTGTATTGTCAGGTGGAAGTACAATGTATCCTGGTATTGCTGACCGTATGCAAAAGGAGATTAGCGCTCTAGCTCCCAGTACTATGAAGATTAAGATAGTTGCACCACCTGAGAGGAAGTACTCTGTATGGATCGGTGGTTCTATTTTGGCATCATTATCAACATTCCAACAGATGTGGATTTCCAAACAGGAATATGATGAATCTGGTCCCGGTATTGTTCATCGCAAATGCTTTTAATTTTTGTTTGTAATAAATAGATCATTATTTCGTGCTGTGTATCTTTATGTAGTGATTAGTTATTGTTTGGGAGTAGTACCCTAGTCTTTTTAATGTACTGTGATTATTGTCTGTCTGGCATATATCGGACGAGATTATGTTCTTCATATAGGTTTAAGGATCTCAGTCCGGCCTCTTAGACGCAAAGCGCGACGTCGGTTAGCGTGGTCCTCATAGATGCCATCCATGTTTTCTTGACCCTATTTAGTTACACACGTGCGTTTCGGTGGAGTGGGCTGTGCAAGTCTTAGGTGTGGAGGTTTGCTTCGTTCCAGTGTTTGGATGTGCTTAGGTAAGAGGAGGATTTAACGCCTTAAAGGCTACCTATATCTCGTCTGTTTCTCGCTTTATTCTGGAAGTCCCCTTCAGGAGTCGACGGCGAGAATCTTTGGGTTTAGCGAGGTTAGTGCGTGTGGGTCGCACAACTTATTCAAGTGAGGTTACTTATGTGTCCGTAGTAATGGTAGAGCTGCCTGCAGTGTTTGGCTCCCAAGCTTCTCATAAGTTATTTAAGGCACTGGTAGGTGGCACTGGGGACCCATTGCTGCCGCAGGTTGCGAAATAAATGTATTGAGGGGTTTTCACGCAGCTCGTGAACCTCCCAGATGTCGTGTTTGGTCAATCAACCGGGGTATCCTAGCCGAGGAATGTACGTGTAGGTCCTGATGAGTTCCTTCTCTTCTCCATATTACCATTGGTCCTGAAGTCTATAACTTGTTGGCACAAACACTCCTTGTGTACAACAATTTAGCGTCCTTATTTAGATATGTCAAGGCGCTCGTACTCCAGAGTTGGTGCTATCTGTTGGGTCACCGAGAGCTCTTCTGTTATTTTACATGGACGACAGGTGTTGTGGACATTAGTAGATCTCATCATTTCGTTTGGGACCGCTCGACGCTAGGGAATTAACGCGTGGGCTTATCGTAATTCGGGACTTTACGTTCACATGTAATAAACAAGCCTAGGTTGTATCGAAGGTATGAGCTCAGGATAGCTTAAAATTCGCAACTTAAAGGGAGAAGGCATTTCAAGTGCTTTACAATTTTGCCCCTGAGTCCGCCTGTACATGGGTGTGCTTTGACTTATCAAGTAGATAACTAGTTTTTGTGCCAGTTGGTGATTCAGTAACCTCAATAGACATATCTTCCCACTTGCCGGAACTCTAATAGACACTCAATGGTCAGGGTTTGGACTGAGGTATGGAGATTAGGTGTACTGACCATCTATCGGATAGCGGTGAGTATTATCCCTGCTTCGGTTTGGGCACCCGGGCAGTATCACAGCCCTCACACATATCAAATGACATTTGCGTGGCGCATCCTTGTACCAATATCTATGTGTTTAAATAATGCTATTCCGTACTAGTTTATTTTTTGTTCGCTTCATGCGGAAGTGATCTCAGATTATTTGAGCATACGTCATATAATAAGCTTCAGGAAGGTAGGATATGAACGGAACGACTGGTTCGATGAAACTTCAAATGAAATGTCTAAATCTTTCGAGATATACTGTATAGGCAGTTTGCACAAATACTTGACCAATGTGGCGGTTTTTTTATTCTAATTATTACACAGACTTCAGGGGTGTCTGCTGTGTTGTGCACAGAATCTGTCAAACATCTCAAATTATATGGTTTTTATTTACTCGGTAGTGTACGACGTCATAGTTGTGCCACAACGTCAGGTCGTAACTTTTCAAATAAAATCCCGAACAACATCGATACATGTAAAACACTTGCCTACAAAAATACTACTTTAATGTTTCCTGAGTAGGTTGTTTGCTAGATTTGTTATTTCAGAGACGAAACATCTTGCTCTCATGTCTCGATAAAATCTCAACCTGAAAACCATTGAAATCATTTTGAGTAAGGGATTCCGAAAGGTTTATATAATTGCTGCCATGTATATTTTTCAGAATAAAGAAATCAATGTTTGTGGGGATCAGTTCTAATAAGCGTCATGATAGATAATGAAACGGTGAAACTAAAACACCGTATTTCCACTTATTAGTTTCACGATTAAGAATTCTTATTTATTTTATATGCTGACAAATAAAACCATCAAATTGACTAGAGAGGCTATAAACTCCAGACTCTATGAACTATAGATCAACCAGACAACATATAAAGTCGTAGATCTAAAAATGAATGGTTATGAACTTATGGAAAACTATAACAAGGGTTAGAACACAAATCATAACTAAGAGATTGGATACCAGAGCAAACCTGAAGAGATGTTCGTGGGCGAAAGCCTTCATTGCCAGTTAATTCAACATAACTAGACGTAAAATTAATAAAGCAATCATATTCATGAGGAGTTGCACGACGAAAACTGTCTGGTCAGGATGAGGCGACAGCACAACGGTTCACCTCAGTATAGTGAAACTTAATAAAGGCAATCAGTAAATCAGAGAGCAGAAAACAGACAATTAATACAGAAATAGCTGGATTAGGAAATCTGGATGCAGTTGTCGTCGGACTCAAAGTTCACAGTACTAACCAGTAACTTGATAGAGATTGTTTGATGCTCGGAACTAGAACAAACGAATATATGACAGCTTTACAAATGAGATTCAGGTTATGGAGAATTATTTCCTTGACCTTTTTTGAGGTTGTATTACACATGACTAGTGTGTAATAACTGAATATAAACGTCCAAAAGTACGAGGACAGTACTCAAAATTGGCTATAATATTGGAAAATTACTATTAGTTTGGCGAAGATGAGATTCAACAATTTTAATTTATCATTCTGCTCATTTGCAGCCAAGTACTTCGAGGAGATCAATGTCCGAGCTTTTTTCTGCAGTTCCTACCATTTAACTACTAAAAAACAGAACATTTAAGCTAAATTTAATTACAGATTTCCTTATAATCTAACTGGGTTTTTCTCGATATAGTTGGCTGATCAAACTGTTCACATAACTAATTTCAAGTGCTGAGAAATACACAGAATATTTACATGTTTTAGCATATACATTTCAGTAGGTTTACTGAGATTCGTTTAAAAAGTCTAAGAAAAATAAGGTTATTTTGTAACAAGCTAATCATGAATGACACTAATTACTTTCTTGATTGTGAAGTGCTTTAATCTAAAGCTAGAAAATCATTGAAAAACAGGGAGCATCTGACGAGTTCGGGACTCCACATCAGTAATACCCACTACTCATACGACACTTAATAATCTTATGTTGAATAAAACGTGAACTAGAGTGGACTTCTGTGATAACCTAGTAGCTAATGTAGTTTCAGTGAAACAATCAATCACCATTGATGATATTGAGTGTGAACTGTACAAATTGATTGGAGCTGGAAAAAGTAGTCTTTGCGGTATCATAACCACAGTAGGGTCTAGAGGCGAAAAACTAGGACCAGCCCTCACACAAATCGAATGAAGAAGTGTGATGTTCCCTTGTACCAGTGTTTATGTGCTTAGATAAATGATAAATATAAATAAATAGAAGGACTTTTAAGTTTCCCAGCTCGCTTAAGTTGGGCACAGAAAATATAATTTCCACGAGCAATATAAGACCAGTGGTAACTAAGCATTTCTTCTTATAAGGGGCTATCTAGTATACTTGTGTTCAAACTTTATTGTAGGGTATTGAAAAGATTGTTGAATCTGAGGTTTTACATCACGGACTGACTTTCGTCAAACAAATACTGGAAGCACTGAATACCTGGTTCACCCTAGCTAATCCACTCAGTAACTGACAATAGGACTTGCAGTTAGGAGTACAAATTCATTCAAAAGCGAAGACGGAAAGACTGATTCAACAATGAGTATTATCCGCTAACTAGTTGATAAATGCTTACCACGAAACGATCAAGGAGATAGTTAGAATATCGGTTTTAGTGGAATCCTTAAATGGATTCACTTATGTTGACACAAACATATATTACTTAACTAGACAAAATGTGCACTTAAATTTCCTATCTTTATACAAAAACTTAATTATGAAAAAATAAAGACATTCATTTTATCCCATCATGTGTTGTTGGATTTAATGTATTAACAACTGACACTGAATAGGAAATAATTCTAAGCATTTCAATTAAATGGAAAATATAAATACCTGGAGGTGAACAATGTAACATTTAGATGACAAACTCAAATAGCATTCAGTGTACTTGAGTTTCATAAAAGTGAAAAAAAAATACTAGAATAGGTAGATGGAGAGTTGGATAGAAAAAGATACATATAAAAACCTGTAAGAATTCAAAGTTTGTGAGATGAATAAATGCAGTTAAAATTTATTTCCTGACGTACTTGCCAAATATTATTAAAATGATACTGTTATCGATAAATAGGTTAAGTAGGGTTTAATGTATCTTATCTGTTTTCTCTGCTTATTTAAAAGATTTTCAATCGTCATAGTAGTCAGAATTTCAAGTCTTAATAACTTAAAAAGAAAAAAAACCAGGAGAAAGGATTGCTTTAAAGAACAGAAAATTAGTGGATGCTTGTGTTTTATAGTAAATCGATAAAAGCCACAGTGAAGAATGACAAAATCCATGATATTACAAATATACGGTGGAGTTCGCCAAAGAACGACCTGTCTAATGTAAACTGTTCAACATAGGGATCAATCATTCATTGACCTTTTATGTAGTATTCTCAATAATTATTGGAAAGTGAAGTTACGATAAGTATCTATCACTTATGACACATGGAAAATTTGAAAAAGTACTTCAAAGGTGGATTGCCTTTTTTGATGAATTGTATTTTCATTTCCGTAAAACAAAGTAATCACTTTTGATAATATAATGTATTATTAATAACTATATACAAATTAGATATTGTATTTACTTGTAAACGTTGGAAATTTATTATGCTGAGCCAATGTTATCTTAAACGTGTTGAGATTATAAAACTTACTATTGCTTCTTTTTTAATGCAGTGTCACAAGAAAAATAATGAGAGTGAAACGAAATATGCATTTTGTCAGCTAAACTTATAAAAA